TAATAGGGTATAATTATCTTTAATTATCTTATTAACCTATCTATTCTTTTAATATAAAGTCTAATATATCTATTTCTAATTTAATTTCTTTTTTAAGATTAAATATCCTTAAGACTAATTTACTAAAAATAGCTTTCTTAAGCTATTTAAAGGCTGCCTAAATCTTATCATTCTATTTAAACAGTCTGTCTTTTTTTATAAGTTCTATTAATAGATTAGCAATCTTACTAAAGTCTTTAATAAATTATTAGTAGTAATTAGTAAATCCTAAAAATACTTATATCTTCTTAATATTTTTAGGGGTTTTTTATTCTATTACTACTAAGATTTTCTTTTATTCTATCTTAATTTCTTTAGATATAATAGTATATCCTAGAAAATTTACTTTTTTAATATAAAAGAAACTTTTCTTTAATTTAATTAATAGCTTAATATTTTATAATACTTTTAAGACCTTATAGATATATTCCTTATATTTTTCTTTACTATTTAAGAAGATTAGGATATTATTTAAATAGTATACTATAAAGATATTAAGGTATTATTAAAGTATATTATTAATTATCTGCTAAAATATTATAAGTATATTAATAAGATTAAAAGGCATAACTATATATTTATAAAGTCTTAACTTAGCTTTAAATGCCATTTTTTATTTATCTCTTTCTTTAATATAAATAAGGTTATATACTCCCTTTAGATCTAGCGCTGTAAAGATCTATTTACTTTATAACTAATCCTTAAGTTCTATTATAAGTAGAAGTAAGGTTTAGTCTTTAATAGTATATATATTAAGTAGTTAGTAGTTAATTACTAGCTAATTCCTTCTATTCTTTTTAGATATAAAGAATATTATTAATACTAATAATAAGTTAGATATCTTAATATATCCTTTTTTTAATATTTTATTAATATATTCCTTTTATTTTTATAATTCTTACTAATTTAGTATATAAAGCTTTTATATTAGTAGGTTTTTATCTATTAAGTTAATTTTATAGTTTTACTTACTGTATTTAAGAATCCCTATTTTTAGTTTTTTACTAAATAGTTTATTATAAATTTAGTATTCTTTTAAAATATTCTTAAGTTAATCCTAGCTATTTTTTATATCTAGTTTATCTTTTTATAGATTTTATTTTTTAAAGAGGCCTAAGATTTCTAATTTTTATTTTATGCCTATCTTATATTTATATTATACTTTTTTTAGAGGTAATAGATACTATATTCTATACTTACCTATACTATCCTCTTTAGTTAAGATATAAGATCTTTTATTATTTATTATAATTATTATTATATTACTTTTAGGGTTATTAAGGAATATAACCTAGTTATTTCTCTAGTTAATATATAGATTTTCTTATTCAAGCTATGGCATATTAAGAAGTATATTTATCCTTTTCCCTAATAGAATAATATTATAATTTATATTTTAATTTCTCCTTTAGATATCTACCTTAAGATAATTAGTCTTTTAGTCTATAATGCTATTATTATAGTTAAAAAGCTATCTTTTTGCATTAAGCAGTAAATATAGGTCCCTTTTCTTCTTTTATAGTAGCTATAACTCTATAACTATTTTTAGATTAATAAAATTTATTTTTATACTGTAATTAATTTAAGTATTTAGCTATTTCTCTTTAATCTAAACTTATAGCATTAGGCAATTTATTAAGTCTACTATATATAATACTCCTAATATATTTACAGGTTTAAGTTATTCTTATCTATTTTTCTGGCTTATCTATAGCTTAGTTATAGATAGTATATAACTTTTCTTAATGCATTTTAATATATCTATTTATAGTTACTATTATTATATCCTTTTTTATTAAGGCAGTTATTAAAGAATTTTTTATTAAATAGTTATTATTAGTATTATTTTTCTAACTCCTTATTTAACCTTTTATCTATAATTAGTTATTTCTATCCTAAAGGTATATTTTCTTATATTAGGTATAGGCTATCTGCCTCTTATTAATACTATAGCTCTTCTATACTTTTTAAGCTAATCTTATTAATTAAAGGTTCCTTCTAGAGATATCTATATTTTCTTTAGGTAATTTCTTTAAATTCCTTTTTTACATTCTTAATAATCTTTATATTTTCTTTAATTCCTTATATTAATTTATTAATTTAATACTCTCTTCTATATAGTATTATATTAAATTATAGTTTTATTACTTCTAGATTCTTATATTAATAATTTACTATATACCCTTTTATTTCTTCCTTAAAATAAGGTTTATTATTTAATATATTTAGGATTTTAATTAAAAAGTAGTTATTATCTTCCTTATCTTACTTATATACTTTATATTAGTAATATCTATATAATATCTAGGCTATTTTTTAGTATTATAAGTGTATTAGCAGTATTTTAATATTATCCTATATATTATATTTAGGTTCTTTAAGTAGGGGGTTTATTATATTATTTATATAATAGGCTTAAATATAAAGTAATAATAGGTTATTTATATTAATATATTCCCTTACTATTTAGATATATATTTCCTTATTAGTATTTTAATACCTTAATCCTTATTTATTATATAGTGGTTTATAGGGCTCTTTTTACTTTTATTCTAAGCGTTTATCTTTATAGTAGAGGTATAATATAATTACTTATGTCACTCTTTCCCTATATCCTATACTTTAGCTATTCTAGTAATTCTAGGTTTATAATTTATTTCTTAAAGTTCTTTCTTCCTTAAAGGCTTTCTCTATTACTTATATAGTTATTTTAATTAGAATTTTATTAATAATTTATTAAGGGTTATTCTATTAATTTAAATTAGAGGTAACTAGCTTTTTCTTTTTTATTATTTTTAGGGTTTTTATTTCCTTAATTTATCTCTATTTTTATTATTAAGATTATTATCTCTTTTAATACTTTTCTCTTTTTTTTAGATCTTTTATATAGTATTTATAATATCTCTTATTATTTTTATTTTATTAGAGTTATCTTTTTTTCTTTTTAGGGTTATCCTTAAGGCATCCCTTCTTTTTAACCTTCCTTTTATAATCTAATTTTTCTATATCTTTTAGCTTAAGCTATATAACTTCTATTTCTCGCTTAAGGGGCATATTATACCTGCTTTAGGTTATACCTAAAGTTTATATTTATATAGCCATTTATGGCATATTTTATTACATTAATCTTAATATTTACTTACTATAATTAAGATCTTATAGCCTCTTTAGCTATAGGTATTATTATACTATATATTTAAACTAATTGCAGTTATAATATTTATATTTAGATATATTATATATTTTGCAGTTTTTATTATTAGGTTAGGTAACTCCTAAAGTTATTAGTCCTTTATATATTTTATATAAGGTATTATTTTAATATCTTCTTTATTATTATTAGTTTTAAGAGCTACTTTAGTTATTATTGCTTTATTATTAGTTAAGGTAATAGGAATTAAAGTCATTTTCTCTTTTATAATTAGCTTTCTCTCTTTTATATTTATACTATTATTTATTAATCTTAATTGCTATAGTAATATATATAGTTAAGTTATTAGGTCTATCTATAATATATAGTTTATCTTTAACTTCTTTTTTTAGTCTTTTATAATATATTTCTATTAAGGCATTATTATTTTATTTAATTTTAAATATAAGTTACTTAAATTTAGCAAAATAGGCAGTATATAACTTATACTACTTAAGTATAAGTAGTTTAGCTGCTGCCTATCTCTCTTTATTAACTACTTTAAAGTTATCTTTAAGGGATTATTTAAAATTATTTTAATCTATAAAGATATTTTAAGTCTCTTATTTCTATAACTATTTATTATTATTAAGGAAGTCTTATATAATAGGTTTTTACTATTTTTTAATATCTCTTTAGATTAAGGGTAAGGTATATAATATTTTCTTAATAGCAGTATCTAGGCGGTTTAAAAATAGGTAAAAGTGTATTTTTATTTAGGTTAAAAATAGAATTATATTAGCTGCTTTTTCAGTAAAAGGTTCTAATTTAAGGGGTTTTAGGGCTTTCTTAATATTATATTAAAACCTATTAGGGTTTTCTCTTTTATTATTAGTTGCTGCAGGTTATACATTTATCTAGGCTTATAGGATTTAAATAGTATTTTAAAGCTGCTAAACTTTAACTACTATTTTAGCATTATTAGATAGTGCTTTAGTATAAGGAGATACTAGGATATTAATATTATTAAATATCTTAATAATATAATATTACTTAATCGTTTAATACAGTATATTCTAAATAAGAGCTATTAATATATAATAGTTAGGTTTTTAAATAGGTAAACTAGTCTATATTAGGTTTATATTTATAGGGTATATAACGCATTATATTAAGTATATTAGTAAAGTATTATATCTCTTAATAGTTAATAGTATAGGTAAGGCTTATTAAAGTAAAGAAGTATTATTAATAGCTAGTAAGTTAAGTTCTATTTATTACTAAATTAATATATATATATACTGTAATATATATAAGTTAAATAGGGTCGGTTTAACTCTATTTATAACTGTTTGTTATATAAGTTAAATGGTATGCATTTGACCGGTATAGGGTAGGTAGTTCTTGATTAGGTGAAAAACAGTGGGGTGCATATACACGTGCATAAAATTGTGTTGGGTCGTAATATATAGCCTCTTTACTTAAGGTAATTTAGCCTTTTTACTTTACCGATTTTTCTATATCTATATTATATATATATATATTAATAGATTACTTACTTACTTATCTTTTTACCTTATTTAGCCTTTTTAACCTACAGTTTAAGCTAGTGCCTGGCCTTAAGCCTTATTTAAGGTTAAAGTGTACCTCCTTATTAGTCCTTATCTAGATAGTACTATAGCTACCTGGTAGTATAGGCACCCCTGCTTTTCCTGGCTAATTACTGCCTCGCCCTGGATAGTAGTATGCTCTATACTACTGCTAACCTAGGGGTTAGACCCTAGAAGCGCGTGACTATAGCGAAGAAGCCCATGCCACTACCGCGAGCTGCCTAGAAGAGATCCTGGTTCTCGGTACGGCTAGCGATGAGCGTGCGGCCATCAGGAACAACCATCTCGATCTTGGTGATCCATGTTTGGTTCGTCGCGCCCCAGCCTCGAACAAACCAACCTTGGCCACCAGCCAGCATGAAGCCTGCTGATCCAACAGTAGGAGCGTGGCCATGAGGGAAGAAGCGGTTGACTTCCTTTAGCTTGGCAGCGAGTTCCTCGACTCGAGAGGAGGGACCGAAGCAGATCTCCTTGGTGACCGGGTCATAGTCGATGCGGCGGTTCAGATTGACCGCATCTATGAGGATGCCACCGTGCCAAAGGGCAGGAAAATGGAAGATGTGACCCGAAGATCGAACGCCAATAGGTACACCAAGCTCGGTTGCACGTGCAAGAGCCTTGGCCACTTCAGCAGGTGTCTCGGGAATGTGAATCTCAGCAGGAAAACGTTCAATCTTGTGGGCAGTGGGGTTCATTCGTCGGCATTTCTCGTAATCTGGGTCCCCTTGAATCAGGACCTTCTTGGAGTATTTGGGAGTAGTGGTGTAGAAGCGATCGTCTGACATGATGCTAGATTTTTGTGATGGTGAGACTAGATGAATTATGACTGAAGTAGGGGCAATGATACGGTGGTGGGATATCTGATATCAGAGTCAGCGACAGGAACATTTGTATTGAACTGTCACGACTACTTCCCCGTATGTTTCTCCGTGAACAGTTAATCGTAAATCCCGTGCCGTCTCATCTCCTTCATCGTTTACAGGACAATCCACTTCGGAAGCTACGTTGTGGTTTTCCATAGCCAGTCAGAAGCTATCGGAACGTTCCTAAGTCAGGTTGTCCTCCACCAACTGGATCAATCCCGTCAGTTCTCTATGAGGAGACTGGATCGGAGGAATAACTGTGGAGATGGGTTATCTGTGTTGAGCAGGGTACATTACCGCAGTCGTTTAACACTACGCTACGGACTGTGATGCCCGCTCCCGTACGGGAGTGTACCGTGCAAGAGCCGAGTTCGAAAGGCATCAGCCATCAATATCTACTCATCTGGACGGTTGGGCCAGGCTTGGGTGAGCCAATGGAGTGATGACTATTACGTGTAAGCCATATTTTTTGTGTCGGCACACCAATTCTCAGTTTCTCCTGGGACCAGCAATTAGGAAGACCAGAGGCTTTCTCCAAGGCACTGATCCGTCGAGCTCTAGAAATCTCAACCCAACATAATTATAATGGCCGAGAAAGTGAGCGTGGCGGAAATACGTCAACGTGGGACACAACAGGATATCTGGATTGTCGTCAATGGAGAGGTATACGACATGACCGGGTTTGCGCCTGAACATCCTGGTGGGGAAGAGAGTAAGCCTGCTACTGTAATCTCTGTGTCACAACAAGTGTTAACCCAACAGTCATTTATCAACACGCCGGTCGAGATGCTTCCACGTCGTACAACGAGATACATTCCCCGTCCTTGATCAAGAAATCTTTACCTACAACATGCTACATAGGCATGCTGGACAAAGCGACAATCGATGAGGCATGGAAAGACCAGGAGAAGGCTGCCAATTCCAAGATTGACGCCACGGTTGCTATTGTATCTAAACCCAAGTCCAAGCCTGATCTGAGTGAAATCATCAACCTGAACGACTTCGAGCGAGTAGCGGAAAGGTTCCTCGCCACTAAGCCTTGGGCAGTCATTCACACCGGCTCCAACGACAACATCACGCGCGATGCAAATAATATATTTCTCAACCGGATCTGGCTCCGACCAGAAATAATGAGGAAAGTTGGGCAGATAAATACTCGTCAGAGATTATTCGGGTGTGACCTTTCATTCCCCATTTACATCTCGCCCACAGGAGGGTCCAAGCTCGGAGGCGCTGAAGGCGAGATCACGCTGGCGCGGGCAGCAGCGAAAACAGGCATAGTCCAATGTTTTGCTACCCCGTCGCCATATCCTCATCTAGAGATCTTGGAAGCTACGGAGAGGCACGCTTTCTTCCAGCTGTACGTGAACAAAGACCGATCAAAATCCGAGGCCGCCATTCGGGACGCTATTGCTACCGGCAAGGTCAAGGCTCTCTTTGTAACAGTGGATGTTCCCGTGATATCGAAGCGGGAAGAGGATGAGCGAGCCTCGTCAAGTTCGGGGTCTGGGCAGACAAGAGACAAGAAAGGGGCCGGATTTGCGAGACTTGCTTCGTCTTTCATTGACCCCAATGTTTGTTGGGATGACATCAAGTGGCTACGTAGCATTCTTGGAGACATACCAATCGTGGTCAAAGGTATCCAGCGAGCATCCGATGCACAGATGGCGTTGGATGTGGGCTGCGACGGCATCGTCATCAGTAATCATGGCGGCCGGGCTGCTGATGGTGCAGCCCCTGCTATTCTAACACTCTTGGAAGTCAACAGGGTTTGTCCGGAGGTGTTTCAAGATATGAAAGTCCTTATTGATGGAGGGTTTAGACGGGGATCCGATGTTGTCAAAGCCATATGTCTCGGCGCTTCAGCAGTCGGCTTTGGCCGCCCGCTTTTGTATTCTCTTGGTTATGGCCAAGAAGGAGCTGAGCATGCAATCAACAGTACGTTCCCCATCCTGGAAAATTTGAGTAGATGCTCACTAGTCCTGTAGTTATCAAGGACGAGATAGAGGCCGCTATGAGGCTTTGTGGGATAACGGACTTGATGCGGGACGCTCACCCTGGTTACGTGAATACAAGAGACCTGGATCATCTAGTCCCTGGGCCAAAAGACCATCTTCCGAGCAGACGCCTACTGCCAGAGAGTAAATTGTAATCAGTTGCTAGATTGGGTTTAGATATCACAACGAGTCCTTCGTATCCCGCCTAGTTATGGTGTTCTTGAGATCCTGACCAATGTAGCGCCGCTCAACCGAGCCTGCTATCACCCACAAGTCCACAAAGTAGGCCAGACGCATATCAGGGGCTCATGGTTCCGCTTACCATGACAGAGTCCGTCAGCTAGGTCCTAAGGTCAAGCCGAAAATGCGGGGTGCTCACGGAGAGGCGGGATGGCCTTGGTCCTTGCTGTACGCCACATAATTGAATGAGTTTCGTCGCAGTCCCTGCCGACGCCAGATCAGTGAAGCTTAGTACGCGCGCCTCCAGGGGAAAGAAAACATCAAACATCAATAAACAGTGTCAAAATAGACTTAGTAAAAGTATCCTAAACTCAGGCTGAATTTATACTAAGCCTACACTAAGTTACTTAAAGCCTTTTTGTCACGTAGGATGAAGATCCCGAGTTTTCTTCCCCCCTAGGCGTGTTACTAGATATTAATATATAAACGCGATGCATAAAGAACCGTGCTAGTGAATTCAGACCAATGGGTTGTTTTTGCTTGTTCGGAACATGTTCACGGAGACGACCTTGAACATCTATAGCCACCATATTGGCCGGTTGTCGCGCTAACTCAACTCCTGCACGCTATCCTCTCCAAATGATATGATATACCTGGTGAGGGGAACCCTTGCGCTGAGCTTACGAATCCTACCTGTCCCATACAGTTACTCATGGTTCAGAGACGGCATGGTTGATATAAGAAACATATACTAAACATTGCACACACAGCTCTCTTTATTCTTGAAACAATCAAGCTTTGCGCTCATTATCGTCAAATGACAGCTTAATATCTTACACAATGCTATTCTCGAAGATGGAGTCCAATACAAAAGACTCAGCAGCATCGGAGAAGATGGATCTTCATTTGGAGAGATCTCACTCTGTGGCCGACGCCGAACGGGTGGCAACGAAGAACACTGATGCGGTAGAGCTCGCCCACCTCGGCTACAAGGACGAACTCCAACGACGCTTCTCGCTACCATCTCTTCTTGGCCTCTGTCTCTGCTTGATGGGCACATGGGAGGCCTGTTCAGCCTCCATCGCCGCGGCTCGCCATGCCTCTGGTATAACTTGTAAGATCAAACCTTGATTAGCACTGGCTGTCAGTTTACTCATAGTCGTGACAGTATTCTATCCTTCTTATTCACCCTCGCGATCGGAGCCTCTCTTGCGGAAATCGCCTCAATCTATCCTACATCTGGTGGTTAGTAATTATCAGTGCAACCAGTTCCCGTCTTTGGAACCGACAAGACTGAAGATTTATTTAGGCCAATATCATTGGGTCACAGCTCTATCTCCGGACCGTGGCAGAAAGACAGCTTCGTGGATGACAGGGTGGATATCCATTGGCGGCCAGGTTGTTTTGCTTGCGTCGGCTGGCGTCTATTCGAGCTTTATGGTCCAAGGTCTCATCTCCCTCAGCAATCCGTCTTACCAAGCAGAGAGATGGCACGCTACCCTCATCTATATCGGGATCTTGATCTACTGTGCGTTGCTGAACATTGTCGGCGAGAAGGTCCTGCCGACGGCCAATTTTATCTCTGGTATGCTCACTACAGCCCTCTCTTTTCTTCCCTTGGCTGCACAGTTTCTAACAACAACAGGCGCTCTCCATATATTTGGATTCCTTGCCGTTCTAATCGCTCTCGGTGTCACGTCCAAGAAGAACACATCCGAATATGTCTTCACTACGACCTTCAATAATACGAATTGGAGCGACGGCGTTGCTTGGATTGTGGGCATGATCAGCTCTATATATCCATTCTTAGGCTACGATGGTGCTTGCCACATGGCTGAAGAACTTCCGCACCCTCGCCGCAATGTACCCCTCGCCATGATCGGAAGCATCGTCATCAACGGCGCAATGGGCGTTGGCTATGTCACAATGTTGCTCTTCTCGGCGGGATCGCTTGAGCGCATCCTTGCTACCCCATACAGACTTCCCTTCATTCAGATCTACTACGATGCGACCCATTCAGTCGTCGGCACTACATTCATGGTTCTCGTGTCAGCTTTGACAGCAATTGCTGCTGCAGCTGCAGGCATGACATCTGCTTCTCGGACTTTGTGGGCTTTTGCACGCGATGACGCTACTCCCTTTCATTCATGGATCGGGAATATCCAACCCAGGCTCAAGATCCCAGTCAATGCGGTTCTTGTGGTCTTCGTGCTCGATTTGCTTCTTGGTTTGCTGTACTTGGTTAACCCCACAGCGTCCAACGCCATCTTGTCCATGTCTGCTACGGGAATGTATCTTTCTTACTTGATGCCTGGTATGCATGCTTGTCTGGGGCCGAAACAAGCTGCAGCCATCCGATTATGGCCCTTTCAAGTTGGGAAAAGTTCTCGGAATTGTTTTGAACTTGGCTGCCATTATTTGGATGGCAGTTTCTATCATCTTCAGTCTATTCCCGGGTTCTTTGCCTGTAACACCTGAGAATATGAACTACTCAGTGGCTGTTATGTCTGGTTGGATTATACTTGGAGCCATCCATTTTGCCTTTATCGGTAGGAAGAAGTTCAAGATGCCAGTTGTAGCAGCCAGGGTCGTGGAGGGAATGCATGTAAAATGAATGTTTGGCACAATAGGCTTGATTTAAAAAGGTGCCTTCCTGTTTGTTTGGAGTGCTGCAGGAGGTCTTGACTGTTTAGGCATAGTCTGTCCATGATCATCAATTTGCACCTCCATCGTGATATGAATCCCTTTTCTGTTATTTTGTCCATCAACAATAGTAATTACGACCCATCAAAACGGCACTCAAGTAACCCAATGATGTATTTAGATGTAAAGACAATTCTTCCAGATCACCAACCCTTTACCGATCTGGTGTGGTGCTCTCAATTTGGTGACAAATCGGGGTGACAAAGTCGCAACGCTACCCTACAGTAATGACAATTCTCTGATTGGTTGCTCCGTATTCTGTTTCAGTTCGGTTCCTGGGGTTTCGTGAGCTAAGACAGGATAGGAATAGCCCTCTTATCGGAACGGTAGCGGAATGGTGGGGCTAGTCGTAAGGACCGTTCCGAATCACAGAGGTAGTGACGGAGGGTTTAGATATCAAGTTTCCTATCTCAGATAGATTGACACCGTCAAAGGTGATGATCTCTGCAAGCTGTATCCGGGGGCTAGCCTATCAGTGCGGGTGCGGGCTGGAATGTGCAAAATGCGACCGCAGTGTAACGTCCGACGACCTGTCGTACATCGGCAGCTTTCGAGGACACGGGTGGCGGGAAACGACACTTATTTGGGATGCAGAAAAGCCCCATGACTACAAGGGGTGTCGCGAGAGTCTTTAGATTCCGCCGGGGAGTTATCGGGAAGTCACCCAATGTTCATATGATGGGTACGGCTGTTGGTTGCTGCTTATCATATAGGCGACACAAGATAAGGTGCTGTGTGAGGCTTTCCTGAGGTCTCCGACCACCTAGATCAAGAGTATTTATAAACCCCGCTTTGAACGGAAAGGGGCCGGTATGCTGGAGATTCAAAGCTCTTGGTCAGCAATCGGGGCATAATCGGGAGCATACTGCATGTCGGTAGTTGGAAGCCAAAGCCCCCAAGAGATATTTGAAGCTTCAATGGCATGAATATACGAATAACTTTCTTGTAGGAGCTCCAGAAAGGTCTGACTGTCTGCATCTTTGTTTCGTCCCACCTTTTGGACTGTAAAATTCCAGACTTGAAACACCAAACACACCGAAACAGCGATGTCGACTCGAAGCGGTTGGCGCGCTCTTGACGTGGCTGTCATTGGAGGAGGTATCGGAGGCCAAGCAGTTGCCACCTCTCTTCGTCGCCAAGGCCACAAGGTCGCCATTTATGAACGCGCTGATTTCGCCGGCGAGGTTGGAGCCTCTATCTCGTGTGCTGCTAATGGTACTCGCTGGCTAGAAGAATGGAACGTCAATATCGAGATTGGTGATCCAGTTATTCTCAGAAAGCTAATCAGCCGTGACTGGAAGACTGGTGAGCCCATCAGCGTCTATGATCTCAAGGATTATAAAGAACGATGGGGATATGTAAGTGACAGCCGGACTTGATCCGAAACACGAAGGCTGATAACTATATCCAGGTTTATTACATGTTCCATCGTCAGTATATGCATCGAATGTTGATGGATAGTGCCCTTGGTGAAGGCGAAGGCCCCCCTGCCCAACTCATTGTGAACCACCAGGTGAGTCATCAGTATTATCAGATATTACAGCAACGTCACTAACAACCGTGCTTTAATCTAGGCTACTGATGTAGATGTGGAGAGTGGGGAAGTAACTTTTGCAAATGGCAAGAAGGTAAAGCACGATGTAGTCATTGGAGCTGATGGCATTGGATCCACCCTTCGAAGTGTTTTTGGCATCAAGCCCGATCGCAAACCAGCGACTTGCACATGCCTGCATACCAATGTTGACACTGCAAAGGCTGTCGAGCTTGGCTTAGTTGACTACTCCCAGAACAGCGCCCTGGAGTATTGGGGAGGTTACAATACCCATTTCAAGATCGTTCTGTCTCCTTGTAACGGAGGCAAGCTCCTCTCTTACTATTGCTTCTTCCCGCGCGAGGCAGGCGACCTCAAGGCCCAGACCTGGGATCAAGAGGCCACCCTAGACGAGCTTCTCGACCCATACCCCGATTTGGACCGGTCAGTCTTCAAGCATCTTGAGATTGGGTATGAGATCCGTCCCTGGCGACTGTGGCTTCACGAGCCCTACGATCACTGGACGGAGGGGGTTGCCTGCATTATGGGAGATGCTGCCCATCCAGTAAGCCATGGTGCCTTTCTGTCTTTACGTTTCATGCACTGACAGAGATACAAGATGATGCCGGATCAAAGTCAAGGTGCTTGCCAGGCGATTGAAGATGCTGCCGCTATTGGTCTTGTTTTCAGCAAGAAGCACTTCAACGGGGACATTCGCGAGTCCCTCAAAGCCTTTGAGGAAGTTCGCAAGCCAAGGGCTACCAAGGTCCAGGCTGCATCAGCAAGGGCCCGGGAGAACATCAACGAGCGCATTGGTAAGAGATCTGGAGCTGATACCTTGAGACCTGGGTACTGACAATTGTGAACAGGCTTTTCTAGCAACACAAACACCAAGGTGTACAATGTTGCAACTGAAGATGGCAAACTAACAATCGATGAGATGAACTTGTAAGTTACCCTCACAATCGGAAGTGTACTCCCTTTACTGACTCTCTGAAGGTATAATATGAAGGACCATGTTGCGAATGTATTCAATGAGCGAAGGCCTAAGGAAAGTATCAAGTCAGAGCCAAAGGAGGAAGACCATAAGTTTTCGCTAGGAAGAGGCACGATTTCTGTGGCTCAGCATAACAGTATTTCAGCATCTTAGTTTATATAATCGTCAATCCAGGCTCCACCATACTACGGGTACAGCCACTGCCCAAGCTGCCTAAATCCTCCATGGCGCTAAACTAAAATCTGACATAGACGGACTTTTAAAAATTACCGCTTTCCTCAAGCTTACATCCTTATATTAGACAATGCTGATTATATATAAGCCACTGAGTCTCGAAAAAGCTACAAGAGAAGTATACAATTAAACACTTAATTTATAGACTCAGAAAGCCTCTTCCCTTCCTGAACACCAATTAAATAACTATCCCCAACTCCTGCAAGCATCATGACAACTACCGATAGTACGACCTTTAAATTCTACGATTTCTTTAAATGGATTGACCCCATCGTTGCTCTTGGAGGAGCATATCTAAACTTTATTGATCCAACCACCTCAAAGGCACCTAACTCGAAATACGACCTGGATTAAGTTTTTCTATTTCTATTAAATTTATATTTATATTTACTACATAAATAAGATATAGCCTTTATAGAAAATATTTCAATTTCCAGAATGCAAGTACCAGTCTGCATTTAAAATTTACAATGCTGCCGCCAGTACTATCTCTACTAATAGATCCTGTAATAAGAATGACAAGACGTGGGAATTACTGCAGTACAGTATGCCAGTCCAAGTTTGGTATATGTAATGCTATTGGTGTAATAACCGATTGAATCTGTGGTGCCAGGATAGCAAGACCCGTATAGGTTCTACCTACAGCAACTGCTACAGTATACAGAACTACGGTGGAGCGTCGTCTGGCCATGGCAGACAAGTACGGTGAGTGTCTCCTGATCACTTAACTTACGATAGTTAACAAGAAGATTTAGTCAAGCTGGGTTCTCTCGAGGTTGTCTCACAGCTAACATTCCTACCACCAATTGAGCTTGTGGATATGTCAATGGAGGATTGACTTGCGCTGGCAGTGCCTGGAATGATCAGTGCTGTTCCAAGGCGGGCTAATGCAGTGCCTCAAACAAGCATTGTGATGCTGGATAGTGAGTTTATGTTTTGCTCATTTTATGCAAGATCCTAGTAACTGACTTGATGATTATGGTTAAAAAGGTTTTAATAATGTAATTCTTTCGAGCGTTTGGGTGTCGAAGAGAGACGTTAGTATAGGGTGTGAGATAAGTAGCAGATTTATTTATGTTGCATAGGTTATAGAAAGATATTAGACATATAGTTAAATATATAATACTATTATTAATTCATATAAGTTTCCAACTAACTAAAAGTCCCAAAGGGTACCAAACGCAGGTATGTTAGCTTTAAAGTATTAGTAATGACCCTACAGAGATTAAGGAATAAAATCATACCTGTATAGCATCCCTGCATTATTTCATCGTTACCCTTTCTATTAGACGTAATAAAAACAACTTCAGCTTCAAAGCGTTCCCAAGTCTCCTTTAGAAGCTGCATTGTGTCAGGTCGCCGACCTTCCTTTTTTGTATCCCACAAAATCATCCGCTTAGGATCGATATGCTTCTGGATTAGGTCGTATATTGTTACACCAAAGGCCTTTTCTTGATCAGAGCCAATCCAGATAAGAAACCTGATGTATAAATATCAGTACTTTACTTATTCTCTACCGTGATATTAAAACATACCAGTCTGGACTCTGAATGCAGGTAGATAGCGCAGCTCCTATACCTGTTCCTGTACAGATCCTGATTCCCCTTTTGTACATAGCTGAGGCATGACCGATGCCAGCTATTAGTGTTGTAAGTATAAGCAAGTGAGTAGTTGTGAGCATAAGCAAGTGAGTAGTAAGGTGAAATTAATCTTACTGAACTTGAGCTCCCTTGTCCACAGTGTCGCCGGTGGATGTGAGAGCATACTTTTTGTAAAGTCACCTTGGACACCACAAACCATATAGTGGTATGGAGACTCAATGCCTTCGCTGATAATTCCAAAGGCATGGAACTCCTTAACGGCAGTACGACTGATCCTTCCAACGAGCCCTTGTTGCATACCTCGGTTGAATCGAATAATAGTAAGTCTAGGCGAAGGCTATATTGGTATGATTAGCTTATAAAGGAGCAAGGCCTGATGCTATATACTTACAAGTTCTACTTGCACTGAGACCTCTCGAAGCGTGGCCCATGGTAGGGCAACACTGATGACAGTTACTTACTATTATTTGGAAGGAGAAGTGAAAAAACATACAGTATTGTAATAAAAAAAGCAAACCACAGTTCCTGTCCACCCAGAATAATGCTGACGTCAGATTGCCCTTTCTTGCGATTAATGTCGTTGAGGTTGCTGAGGATAACAAACACCCAGGTCATCTACTACTCATTAGTATTAACACTTACATAACAGAGGATACCTACTGCTATACCAAGCCAGCCGGCAAAGCGGTGGTAACGCTCGAAAGTATTGTGATAGTTACTGCATAACTCGTGTCAACATCGTCCTGGGATCATAACGGCATTGAGGGGAAAGTCTACTTGCGAAGCCAAGGGAAGGCACTGAGAACTGATATGCAGATCAGTGTACTTGTGATGGCACCTGTGGCAATAACGGAGCTGTGCTGCATTCCTCGGTTTCGTATCATGTGTATAGTTTTGAGGATAAACCAACTGCCAACCTGCATTAGAAGTAATAGCTGTAAGTTCATAAGGCAGTCATACACAGCTGCTGATAGCCCGCATCCAGAGTGAAGGCCTCCAATATGTTGTAAAGTCGAGGTTGCTGCCAAACGTATCCGTAGAGGAGCCCACTAGGCCTTTCCATTAGCATACATTTAATATCCCAAAGGAGTCCATGACATACACTACGCAATCCGTAGATAGCCATTGTGTATAGCAATCTTAGGAATAATTCATTTCTCATAAGTACTGCGACGAGAAGGTTTCCAAGCACCATTGCTCCAGAGTTATGTATGGCGTAAGAGAAGTGACCAAGTTCAGCCGATATCATCGCAGTTAGGTTTAGCGAAGTGCACAAGAGGAACAGCTTCCGGTATGTATTGAACCATAGATGGAATAGTACCCATCGACTAACTGACTTATCTATTACTCGTATTGACTTGGTAACTTCGAGGTTCGGCATCGGCACGGGCTTTGCTGGTCGTTCAATTGAGGTCCTAGATGGGTCGATGGTTTTGTTGACGGTTGATGTTGCCTCTGAAGAAATATGGGCAGAGGGCGGTATTTTCGGAGGACTTTGTGATGCGTCACACAAGCCTTTTTCGGCATTATCGTTATCATTGTGGCTAATGCTTTGACTGCCAAGGGGAGGGAGTTCTGCTGAATCCCACTGCATACGCATATTGAAAATGGAACCTATACACCAAGATAGATCATCCGAGAGAACAATTTACAAATTCTACATACAGACTCATATATTTCTACTATATTCAACCAACACTAATAATTTCAAGGAACTATACTTAGTCTCGGAAACAGCCTCACCCGGACACAGATGCCGCTTTACCGTTTTGGTCAAAGAGCACGGAAAGAATCACATCCGGAAATTTAGCTCCAAAACTCGCAGTCGATCTGCATTACGCTATCCTCAAACTGTAACTTTAAGCCACAGCTCGGCATATCTATCCTCCTGGTTTGCTGCTCATTGACGGCTCAACTACCGACTGTTACCCTCTGATCCTTTTAGAGACTTTAACTAAGCAGAAGCCACGGAACATAACACTTCCGTTAAGCCACTATTCCTCTCCTGTCTCATTTGACTTCTAGATTTACATATCATCATTATCATCATTACCGGTATGTCTTAGAAGTTAGCTCTCAAGACACTACTGCTGTCTGACTTGGCGGGCATTAGCTAAGTGGGGTTTGCCATGGTCCGCTAAGGGAGACATGGAGGAAGCTGGACTTCGGATGATTGGACTTGTGGTGGATCGTATGTCTTCCTGACTTTGGTGAGGCTGCACTTCTTAGTGTTCAGCCATGGAATTACTGGCAAAAGTCACAGTCAGGGAGTTCAAAAGCAGACTTAGACATACCTGACAATGAAGGTATGAAGCTATGTTGGAGAATAAGCCCCCTTCCCGAGATTTGCCTCCAGTAGAAGCTGTCATAGATGCGACCGATTAGGTAAAGCGCAGACGGCAGAATACATGACGCTTATCATGACTCTTATGGAGCCCCCCCTAAAACATATGACGCCTAGAAGCACTAACAGAATCATAGTGGTTTTGCTCCATCATTCCGAAAAACATCACTGATATGCTAGAGACTAGTTATATAGCCAGATAGTTTCGTTACAAGTAAAAAGAGGAACGCCTGCCTACGACTTGATCTTGAAACTGGGCAGCACGCAGCAACACTTGCTGGTCTCTTACAATGGGTAAATCTGTGATGATTAGTGTCTTAGAGTGCGATAACCATATTGATCCGGACAGGTCAAAGTGGGGTGGTTATGGCCCTCTTGTTTCCAAATGGCTGAGGTCGGACCATCGTTTGCGGGAACGCGCACAAATACGTGTCTGGGATGTGAAGAATACCATGGACTATCCAAAGCCAGGAGATTATGATGTCATCATAATCACTGGTGCACGTGAGTCACGGCCACAAGAACTGCTGAAACGTGCATTGACGAATTCGAGTACAGCCGCAAACCCGGAAGCTCAGGAACCCTGGTTGGTGAGGCTTCGGGAATATATCAACAAGGAGGTCGAAATGACATCTACTCAGAAGTTTGTCGGATTTTGTTTCGGTCACCAGATTTTAGCAATGGCCTACGGGTTATCCGTTGAATGTAGTGACTCGGGATACGAGTTCTCTGCAACAACTATCCAGCTATCAGAGACCGGGAAAACACTGTTTGGACAAGAATCTATTGTATGTTCAAAATGACAATGACTTTCTTCAGATGCAAAGGCTTATGTGAACATAGTGTTTGAATGAGGGCCACCAGTTTCAGGTCAAAGACCAGGACCTGGGACAACTCCAGAATCTCGGCTGGACGGATCATACTCACATACAAGGCCTCTTCCTTCCAAAACGCGTTTGGTCACTACAAGCCCACCCCGAATTTGATGCTACAGCATTAGGTCAGATACTGGAATTTGCGAAAGCGAAACTATCAGAGAAGGAATATCAAAGTGCAAAGGAGAGAAATACAGGCAATGTCGAGCAGCAAGTTGCTTTGGATTCATTAGTCAAATTTATCTTGGAATAGAGATACAGATACAGATACTAATATCTTGATAATATCTAAATCTATGAAATGCAAAGACCTATCAGCTCTAGCATTTTAGTTTTTGGTATCCGACCTGTGAAATGCAATAGTGAAGTAATTGCCAGAGCTGTGCCAGAACAATCTCGCTGCCATGCTGGAGAGTCAGACGCTACAAGGGCCATCAATAAGGTCCAAAGATTAGGCATCTAACTTGGTGTTAGTATATATATCACAAGAGAATCATGGGTTAGTGCGCATGTGCTTACCTCCGTTGGTAGGACTGTACTGAGATTCTGATATACCTGCTCCACGGAGATATTGTCCTTGGTAATAGCTGCATCAGTGATTGACTGTAATGATTGCCAGGCTACGCTGTTCTCAAGCATTAGAACCGCTTCAGCCTCCCTGAGAACCTCTTCACCGAGACCACGACGCTCCGAAGGCTCCCATCTTCTTGCACCTTCCAGAATCTCCGCAAACACTCCAGGAAGTCTTCTGATCCTGCTGAATCGCTGTTCGTGGAAGAGCTTGGACGCTTCTTCAAACTCATCGGCATAGTATGACGTGACTAGATCGTCAAAGCTTTCGAAACCCATTGCACCAACGCATTCCATGATATTCTGGAATCTTGCGTTCAGTGATTCTCTGGGCACGGTTACTGGTGATCGGGAAGATGAGGCGTAGCTTGGTTGTCTTGTGGTGGATGATTGGGCTTTTAGTGAATTGGAGTTAGTTGAAGAGGGTCTTGGGTTTTGGTCTGGTGATTTATCGCAGGAGCATGACTTTTGTCCATCCAAGTTTGGGTCTGCTATCATCCATCCAAGATCTAATTCTGCCTCAAGGTCATCAGTGATGAAGGGGGGATGAGATGCAGCTGTATCAAAAGTCGATGTGGGTAAGGACTGCAATATGGCTGAACTGGTGTTCTGGTTCACCGTAATATCGTCAAAATGCGCTTGATGGAGATATCCATTTGCTTCATGAGGCTCGGTTATGAGGCTTGAACGGCTAATTTGCTGTATCTCGCGGCTTGGTCCAGCTTGTTGATAAGACCTTACTGCTTTGATCACAGGAGGGCCTGAGATCCCACTCCCAGGAGCGAGAGAACTTGCTGGGGAGAGGATGTAGTCCGAACCCTTGTGAGTAGAACTCTCTTGGCTCTTTTCTCGGTTTGAAAGGGAGCCAAGAACTTCGGGCAAGCCCTCAGTCGAATTCCGGTTGTTTGTTTCGGGCGACGTATATGATATACGTTGATGAACAGAACCTTCAGCAAGACAAGGCTGCTCCCTAGTCTCTGGACCCTCTTTTGATGAATTTGCATCTTCGTACTGGGCCACCTTCTTTTGCAGGTCGGCAATACGAGACTTGACACGACGCCCTATATTCCAGCTCGTCAGTAATAATTGCAAACCAAGCCTATCACTGCGGGTTCAGCCTTACGGTAACTTCGCTGGGCAACCCTATTCTGCAGGCGTTTCTTGGCCCTTGGGTCCGCGTCCCCTTGGCATTCCAGATTGCTGGCGTTGGCATTGGCGCCCAGAGATTGAGATGCAGGAGTTAAAGACGGGTTGCTAGTAAATACAACATTCATGGTTGTACCTGATTGAGGTGCAATCGACATAGTGCACACAGAATTTCACAAGCTATTTAAGAGAATGCAATGGAAGACAAAAGCCCTATCAATACTGCCGGCTTTTGAGCACATTTGTGCATGCTGAAACAGTAACAAAGCACGTGAGCAATATTTCCTTGTTGAAATGAAACCAAATGCAACGTTAAGGCGTTTTGCTGCAGCTTACGGGCATCCTCAAAAGTTCCAATCCAAATCACTTGAAAACCCACTGATTCTCCACCAAGAAGGCAACTCTGGCAGATCGAGAACGTCCATCTCATTACATTTAGCCGGGGTCTACAGCATGATTCTTGTTTAGCCCCCAGAGAACGCTGCATACGCCATTCGCAGGATCAACTGGGTCGGATTCGATTTCATAACAGTCGGACAGGCCTCAATTTAACTGGCTGGCCATGTCGTTTGTTTTGTTACACAACTTGCGCAACCTGGCTGATAATTGCAGGGAGCCGATTAGGCTGCCACATAGGTCGAGTGCATGCCGCGTATGTATTCCGGCGCACTTGATTTTTATGTGATATAAAAAATGTCGGCATATTTTGCCTTATTTGATTGAGTACTGAGAAGGATTATATATGCGGCCCGACCCGGCTTGGAAGAACTGTCAGCACAAAAGTTCCGAGGCAGTCTAACCTTGAGAAGATAGTTGTTCCGATGAGGCAATTGCCGAGCTTACGCGCTGATTATGGCGTCATGGTCGGCTGATGGATCGGTACGTCAGATTATGCTTCGAATTATGCTTCAAGTCCTGCTCTTATGGTCAGACATTGAGTCATGCTTAGCTGGGGGAGGGCATGCAAATGACTAGCTTTGCCTCATTGCTATTTGAAATTCGATGCTAAGTCAGTGAGGTTGTATTCGTCTACTGACTTAATGGCTATTTCTAGCTAATGTTCTCACACTTCATCTAAAACATCCCTGCAAGTTTGTATCAGGCGATGATAGGTCTCCAGCACCTTTCGTCGATCAGTCCTAGACTGCACTAAGAAATAAGCCAGAAACTCGACACCCAGTGGCGGTGATACAAGTGTGCCAGGCTGTCTAAACAGCTCCGACCTGTAAACTAATGGAGCAACGTCTGGCATCCTCTCCAGGACTTTGCCACAGAACCCTTCTGGTACCAGTACGTTATGACGGTGAATTGGGATCAGGCAGTTCCCGCTCCAGTACTGTGTCTCAGATAAGAAAGGCTTACACATCGCTTTGAAGCGATCGCCATCTCTCAGGCATTGGAGAAGCTGTAGCGCGCAAAGATCTACCCCGTAAGCGTGAAGGGTTGAGAAAGCGCAATCTAAGCCGGGAGGGCGTGCGTTCACTTCGATGAGATATACCTCAGGGTCTCTTGGTGACGGGTTATCTGTATCGGCTAAATCAACAATACCGTCGATTTCCTGGTATCGCATGCTTGAGTTCTGGACTCTAGCTTCGACATGGAAGACGCCATTTCGGAAACCAAGTTTGAGCAGTGTTTTGTGCAGAGATGACTTGATCAGGTTCTGCTCCTTCTGACACAATAGCGTCGGTGACACCATGACAGTCTCCCCGAAGTTGTCGGCAATAGTGGCGTCACTAGCATCAGCTGTGCAGGGGAAATCATCGGTGATCTCTGCGAACATAAGCTCACCATCCCATAGAGCAATGTTGGCATCTATCTCTGGCCCACTTATATAAGTTTCGAGAAGAATCCCGTATTTCGTGAGACCATCGTTTTCGAGCTGGTCGATTGCTTCCCGAAGTCTTTGGTAATTCTGAACCTTCTTGACACCACGGGAGGCGCCACCACGGCATGGCTTTATTACCAGAGGGTACTTTAAGGCTTCCAATGTCTTGGAAATCTCTTCACTCTCCAAGTCCGCGGCGCTCTCCAACCGAAAAGACTGCATATTGGGAGTATTGAGAACCTTGCGGGTTGCATCCTTGTAGTGAGCAGTGATTATAGAGTCGACGGGTTCAGTTTCAAGATTCAACGTTTCGGCTGCCTTTGCAGTTGCAATGACATACTCATCTGAAAAGGTGATGATACCATCTATTTTGCGGCCCTTGACAGCTGCGGTGAGCCTTTGAGGTAGACAGTCGTCACTGGTCATATCGACAGCAATAAAGTCGTCTCGCAGATGACTGTATCTTGGGCCCTCCATGAAATGGCCAGGACGATCAAGGACAACGACGGCTATTCCGAGCGCTCTAGCCGCGTCGAAGGGTCCCTCTGAACCGTAGCCCCCTGTTGTGCTATCAAACAGAGGGCGACCGCCAACCACAGCCACGGTCAATGCTGGAGGTTTGTCTGGGGTTACCCATTCAAAAGAAAGCCTCTCGTTCACTTCCCGATCGACAAGGTCAAAGGCCTCAAGGCCACGCGCCGATTGGATGGATCGTTTGCAGATCAAAGCTCCGGGAGAGGACTGTAAGAGAGAAAGCAGATTGGTTTCTGATTGAGGCACCGCGGGGTAAGGCTTTCCCTCTACTTGGAAGGGAACGACGGACTCGATACAGTCAGAATGTACCATTCTCAACTGTAGAATGTCACGTCGACAGAGATAACCATCACGTGGAACCAACAAGACCTTGATCAGACCTTCGATGGCGTGGTCCGGTCCGTTGCCCTCGACGTAAGGCGGCTTTGATGTCAGAAATTTGTTGATAATAGTTCCCAATGGCGTGTCGGTACAGTCAGCAAGAAAGTCCGTTCCTTGACTCGCACGACCGTTCGTCTCGGCCTTATCCGAGGATATGACATCCAAAACGAGATCGATAGATTTGCAGTACGGAAGAGCATTTCCGTTTAAACTTTTGGGGTAGAGAGGGGATGAGAATCTCCAACGGCATTCGGCTTTCAAAGCAGCTAGTAAGGAGACAAGGTAACATGTCAGCGTAAAATGCTCATGACTGGTGGAATCTCACAGGGCAGCTTACACTCACTACCGAGAGCCTTAACCGAAAAGGTCTCGGAAAATAAGGATCCATCCATCTCAGGTGTTAACTGACTTCCCATATTGGCTGCAGGTACTGAATCCTTTGGCTATGAAAGGAGCTTTGCAGTGGGGGAAGGATTGTGAAGAAGTACTGCTTCGTCTTTGTTATTGTCTATTGTCATGGATTGGTGTCCCTCGTTTTATCCGTAAGTGAAATTCTCGTTCTGACATTTGCATGGCAAACGTGGCTGCATTAGACGTCATGCTTTGGTCGCAAGGCAGCTGTAAGAGATTTGTCAAAAGTTTCTCTCGTAATAACGAGTTTCAGACACCTGCCGTAAGAGGAGCTAGCTGCCTTGTTTACCATGATATGCATTGTTGGTCAGATTTGGGTGGCGGTGAACCGGGGCGTCCGATGGATTGCTCGAGCAGAATATGGCAGTCCTGCTCCCTTCCCAACCAACAACGTCTGGAGTAAAATATGACATATTACTAAATCCAAAGCCCTATCCGGAGTTACCGCATCGGAGGTTACTGACTGGGGTGTCTCACCCGCCCCCACATCACCTCATTTTCATCAACGACCAGACATAAGGTACCTTCCCCATAAGGAGTGCGGCGCGGCCCAAACGCCATCTTAGTTGTACAGATGAGACTAATCACAACTTCTGTAAAAGGTAACATGGCACGCTTGTGTCCCCACCGGGGAAAGAGAGAATTATTACGCGTAACCACAACTACCCAATCAGAACTAACCAGTGCCGAACGCAAAGACACAGTCAACGAGTCAGAAAAGGTGACTTCCGCTATTTGTCACATCTTTTGAGAATAATGAGGCTGAGAAAGGTCACTCTCAGATCATGAAATGGATGTACTGGTGGCGTTAAATCCAGGCTGATCTACGTTTAGTGCTGATTGAGGGGCTTATACATTTGCAGTGCTGCATCAGGATAGTTGTCACCTAGTACAATATGGAACAACGAAACAGTAAGGTACGAAGGGATAGACTATGGTGATATGTGTAAAATTGAAGGATGTCATGGAGAAATTGGATAAAGAAATCTGGAATGAATGACCAATACTCTAGAAGCATCAACAAAATGACTAGGTTAAATCTGAGCTGTAACCTCCGCATCCAGCCCCTCAACGTCCGCCAGAGTGATCTTCTCAGGCCCATCCGAATTCGTAGTGACGCTGTGAGCCTCACCAACCGACTTGGAAGGACTGTGACTCACGACCGCATTTCCACTTTCCGTCTTGCCAACCACCCAGTCCAAATAACTGTTGGAGAAGATACGACCTGTGTTGACGGCCTCAACATCGCAAAGTACCATTTCTTCAACTAATGCTTCGAAGCTGTATGTTGGCTTCCATCCAAGCACTTTCTTCGCCTTGGCCGCCGAGCCTAGCAAGTTCTGGTTATCAAGTGGTCGGTAGAACTCGGGGTTCACTTTAATGCGAGTCGTTCCGCTAGCTGAATCAATGCCAACCTCGTCTAGACCGGCTCCAGTCCATCTGGGTGATATTTCAGCGCCTGCTATTGTATAACGGTGAAGAAGGACTTACTCGATGTTGACTCCAATGACCTTGAAAGCTGCCTCGACAAAGTCGCGAACGCTGTAGGACTTTCCACTCGACAGGACATAATCACCTCCGACAGGCTGTTGCAGCATCAGATACACGCCTTGCATGTAATCCTTTGCATGGCCCCAGTCCCGGACAGCGTCAAGATTTCCTAAGGAGAAAAAGTCCAACTTTCCACACGCAATCAAAGCTACTTGAGTAGTGATCTTTCGGGTGACGAAAGTGGTACCTCGTCTTGGTGATTCATGGTTGAAGAGGATACCGTTCGAGGCATGGAAGCCGTATGCCTCTCGAAAGTTGACAGTAGTCCAGTACTGGAACAACTTCGTGACAGCATATGGTGATACCGGGTGGAAGGTGGTCTCCTCTGTTTGTGGAGCGGGCATGTCCGACCCAAACACTTCAGATGAACAAGCCTGCACGAATATGTTAGGCCTTTCGTGTTGCACGTATGATGCATGAGAGATAAAGTAACGTTACATTGTAAAACTTTGTCGACTTGTCCAAACCCAGCATTCGCATGGCCTCAAGCAGCCGAAGTGTTCCCATGGCATTGGTGTCACTAGTCTGTAGTGGAGTGTCAAATGAGACAGCCACGTGGGACTGAGCAGCAAGATGGTAGATCTCATCGGGCTTGATGCTGCCCAGAATCTGCACAAGACGACCCAGGTCGGACATGTCGCCAAGGTGCATGGTCAAGCCAGGCCGGAGTGGCTTGCTTAAGGCTTCGCGTCTGGAAGCAGTCGATCGTACCAGGCCATGAACTTGATAACCCTTTTCCAGCAGCAGCTCGGAAAGATAAGAGCCATCTTGACCAGTGATGCCTGTCTCACATGTTAGATAAAACCACAACTCCTCGCAATGTATGTAACTTACCAGTGACAAAGGCCACTCTGGGTCTGAAGTAACCACTCAACACTGCCATGCTTTCTTGTACAAAAGATCGATATGAAGTATTCGATAAGGTTTTTCTCAAGGTTAGAGAGTTTAATTGTCAATCAATTACAGACATGTCAATATATACCTGTAACCCAGTACTGGATCTGGCTGCTTGGTACAGGGACATCACTGATCAATCACTTGAACCCTGTCAAAATATGTACACCCAAGACTTGCACGCGACCAATCTCCCCAAGCAAGCAATTCTGTCTCGCTCCCGTCACGACACCAACCAGTAAGCCTCTTGTCATTCAGTTCTTTGTGTAAGCCAACATTAGGTTGCGCCGTACGCTGGCCGGGCGCCTGCTGGTTGAGTCAGTATCGATACAGGTGTCTTTCCCAACAAAGCTCTCGGACTTGTCATCTGAGATCTGTCAGCCCGTTCCTCCAGGTGCTAAGTCATCTCCGATTGTGGCAGGTGGATATGCGGCTCGTGTAGCAAATTAAGCTTACGTTAGGATGTATGCGCCACCATATGACAAAGAAGCCTTCAATGAAGTAAGTAGGTATTACGTGGACGTGAAACCCTTGACTAAAGACGGTTACTATTCAAGAAATCTGACATGATGAATAGCATTACATGAGTGTTCCACCGATGAATCTAATCTCCACGCAATACTGGCTCCAGGATGCTTAGAAGATCAACGGTACTGAGTTGGCCTAGGATCTCTTCGTCCAGTGAGTGCCTCTCGAGGAGATCTCGTCTCATGGCTGTGGAGTTGATGTCAGACCCAGTTGGTCTCTTTGCGAAATCCAAATAGTAACCCATTGTCGGCCGGGCGAGGCTATCGGTCCCTCGACAAGTCCATAGAGTGGCCTCCTCTGCTTTTTCTTCAAGTTTCCCATCTGAAATTGTCAGAAGGTTCTAGCAATAAGAGACAAATTTTACTCAGTTTACTTACTTTGGTCATTATATGCCATCTTTTGTGGAAGCCATTCCCCGAAACCCTTCCATTTGGTTGGCTGTCCGTTTGGCAAAAATTGAGACGGCACATGCCGTGCTTTATTGGTAACAAGTATTCGCGGCAGCCTATAGGGCAAATTGTTTAAAGCATCGGCTCTGTTGAGGTTATCCGGCCCAATGAGGTGCGAAAACACAATCTTGTAGCCATCCTCTTCGCAAAGCCGCTGCGCCGCTTCCATAAACGTGAAAAATGGATACCATGTCTCTGACCAGATCCAGACCTTGTTTCTAGGAACCTGGGGCATCTCGGCCCAAAGTGCAGCTCTCATCTTCCGACTCATGAAGAACTCTGGGTGGCTATTTGCCAGCTTGTGTCGGAGGTGGAAGTCCTCGCTGGGGAGAACCACTATGGCGACGGCGTTGACTACCGGGTGCAGTGCTGACAGCAGGACGTCCAGATGTCCACGGTGCGGGGGGTTAAAAGAGCCACCGTAAACTAGGATCAAGTTGTCTTGACCTTTATTGAGGTGGCAATCAAGCTTCTGCAGCGGATTGAGTGCGACTTCTGTAGACAAACGAACCTCTCTGTAGGCAGCCTCCAAGTAGGGCCGGAGAGACATAATGGTGGAGATTTGGGAATGAAGAGCGGTAATAGAAGAACAGGAGAATGAATACTTTGGCTGCACTGTTGGTGGACCTGAGGAGTTTTATGTTTCACGACAATGTTGCACACATTTTCTATTGGTGTAGTCCCTCTGTCAGCCTCCTATTAACCCTAACTAACCTTGTCACCTTGTACGTAGTCAGCACTCTGTCTCTTCGCTTGACCCCTCATTCACCTTCCCACTCAGCTTCCATCGCTTGGGATTCACAGCATACAATTTGCCGTGAATCACATCTTCTGTCCTTTTTCTTGCATTTCGCCAACTTCCTCCAGATCGGCTGTCTGTATCGAATCATATTATAACAGTACATTATGATCCACGATCGAGCACTCACCATAGCAGAGTCCTAGTTGGCATCGGTGAGTGCGACCAGCACCCTGCAAAAACCAACATGCTTACAGCGGGGATGCTGTAGGCTCCATCAATGTATAGGTGCAACCGCTTGCTAACCATAGCGGCACTGAAAATGAGCACAACAACAATGACTGGATAATGAGAGCCAGAAGTCAAGCTTGCCAGACAGTCTGTCCACTCTGCAACAGCAACAGCTGTAGAAATGAGAAGAGCCGCATATGCTGTAGGAAGGCCCTCATGGTACATCGCTTTGCCCTGATCACTCTTGGGCACCAAGTGCGCAGCGATGTTAAATCTTGCGAGGCGGGCAACGCCTGCACAGACAAAGAAAGCCAAAGCTAGCTGATCGGCCACCGTATCAAAGCCAGCGGAATAGACCATGACTGACGGAGCCACGCAAAAGGAGACCTGGATATGAAGAGTAAGTGCTTGGTCCCATGACTCGCCAGAAAAAGCAAAGACTACTCACCAAATCACAGAAGCTATCCAATTGTTTGCCCATTTCCGAACATTCATTCCTGGCCCTCGCAACTATTCCATCGAAGCGATCAAACTCATAGCCGAGAAAAATGAGTAAGTGCGCCGCCAACAGCGACTTCTGTATCGCGCAGAAAATGGCGAGAACTATTTACACGAGTTAATTACCCAGTATCATATAGCTATGAGGAATGCTTTAGATTACCTCCGCAAAAGCCTGAATCGTTAGAAAAGCCAGGTAAGCTTTGTAATTCCTGATTATTTGTCAAAGGCTGTCTTGTTACTCACCATTGGAAAGAGTGATATAGTCGGCTACTCGCAGTCGCCTGTGTTTAATTAATGCCAGGTCTGTACGGCGATGCGCGATGTATACCTCAACATATCGTAGTTAATAGGTACGTTGGTTGCCATTGTGAGTTATTACAGGTTCCTGTCCAATTGGAAATGATATTTGTCGGCTTCTTCACTGCTTGCTTTGTGCTACTAAAAGACATACGGCGACTGTAAACGCTAGTCGTCAATTTATGCTTGGTTGGTTCGCTGAAGGGAGCGTGCACTACTGCTCAATCACAATCTCCGGCTGCTCCCTCCAATCCACAAGCCCTGAATCATCCCATTTCCAGGTACTAATCACGGCATGAATCTTGATTGAGACTGTTTGGGGATTCGATAAACGATCAGTTGGCTTACGGAATCTAATGACTACTGTTGAGGCGACAACAGAAAACAACTCTCGTAATATTTCCTTCTCAGAAAGGCAAGTGGTCGTGCTGGGGCAAAATCTGACGTGATGGCGATCAATATAACTTAGTGGGTGCCAACTGTCAGTGCATGGAAACCCTGGAGTAAGCGCAGAATAGGCTTGCTCTGGTCATAATTCACAGTCCCTTGTTTTCTCTAGTGGGGCTGGGTTATCACCTATTGCATAATTTGCTCAGTCACATTTTCATGCAGAGCAAACATGAGTAGGCTTCCAATCAGGTTCTGAATGCGCCGCTTCACATGCAGGCATAGCCCTAAAGCTCCTTTCCTCGTAAAATATGCAGTTGGTTCAAGATGCTGGTGTTCAAAAGTGCCTGTAAAACGACTACCAGATTAGTAAAGTGATCCGAACCAACCAACAGACAGATGTAACGTCTTCAAACCCAGTACGTAATATGAACAGGGCATCAGGGTTACCTTGCACCCCACGATTTGTGCAGCAATCCCTCGTCAACACTTTCCCCATGTCTTAAGTGTAAATTGGGGTTTGGGGCAGCGCCATTCACTCAAGCATTACAGTATTCTCGGAATTAACTGACAGTTACTTTCTCAGATAGAGCATCGATATAGCCTCTGGTGCTTTTGCCTCATTGACGGACTCATCATGGTGACTCAACATCCTGAGCACGAAAGACGGGACGCTACAGAAGCGGAGATCAAAGAGCTGCGGCACGTCGTAGACTCAGTTTCGTTGCCTGTCTGGGTCGCACTCTTTGCTAACGCTACGGAGAGGTTCACTTTCTATGCCGTGACAACGCCATGGCGTACGTATCATCAATGCAGTTTAACTTTTATGCTCCATCATTGCTGACTTACATTCCGTGCAGAGAACTACATACAGAATCCCGCTGATAGCGTCGCTGTTCCAGGCGCTTTGGGACTGGGGCAGGCAACGGCTACAAACATTACGAGTGCATTTCTCTTCTTGAGTTTTCTCCTCCCGACTGTTTGGGCTATCATCTCAGACACATGGCTGGGGCGTCATAAAACGCTCTGTTTGAGCTACTTGTAAGTCCGCACGCATCCTTGTCGGCCAAAGTCGATCAGTACTGAGAGGCGAGTGCAGCTTGAACTTTTGCGGATGTTTGATCATCTTTATTACGTCGCTTCCAGCCTTCAGCCACTCTCAGATCACTAAGGTGGTAGGACTGGGGTTCGCGATGATTGTCCTTGGAATCGGCACTGCTGGTGTAAAGGCGACCGCCTCCCCATTCATAGGTGACCAATACGCGGAAACTGCTCCTCAAGTCATCACCACAAAGAAAGGGGAGCGCGTCATCGCAGACCGGGCGCTTACACTTCAGTATATTTATAATGTGTCGTACTGGTAAGAAGTTCTGCGACAGTCACAAGACACAGAACTGACTGGCACTTTGACTGCAGGTTCACCAACATAGCAAGTTTATCGCTCGTTGCATCCACCTATTTGGAGAAGCTAGTGGGATTCTGGGCTGCTTATTTGCTACCTCTTTGCGCGACCTGGACACTGGTACCTTTACTTCTAATCTTTCACAAATCACTTGGTAAGTCTTCCCCTACCATGAGCTGGTCCTCATCTCTAATAAATTAAGTCAAACAAAAACCTCAGGCAAATATTCTTCCCCGCGCTTCCCGAGTTATCGTTTGCGCGGGAAGACACAAGTTCAACTGGGAAGCTGCTACACCCGTTTATCAGTCCGAGAAGTTTGGCCGCCAGGTCGAGTGGGATGACAAATTTGTCTTTGAGATCAAGAGAGGTCTCCAGGCTTGCAAGGTGATGTGAGTTCTCCCCCCCTTGATGAGTGGGTTTCTTGGATGTCCGTGCTAATCGATATCAGGGCCTGCTTTGTGCCATTCCACCTCTGCATGAATCAGATTACAAACAATCTTGTTTCACAAGCAGGGCAGATGAGGCTCGGTGGGATCCCCAACGATACAATCCAAGCTCTAAACTCTATCGCTTGCGTGCTACTGGGACCAATCATGCAGAGATTTGTTTATCCTATCGTCCGTGGTCGGGGATTCGCTTTTGGCCCCATTGCGCGCATTACGTGGGCTTTCATTATGATGAGTACTGCAATGGCATATGCTGCTGGTGTTCAAAAGCTCATCTACACCAAGGGGCCTTGCTACAATAAGCCCTTGCAGTGCGAAAAGTCGCCTAACGACGTGAGTGTCTGGATCCAGTCGCCCGTCTACTTTCTCCTCGGAGTCGCCGAGATTTTGGGCTTTACAACTCTTGCCGAGTACAGCTATTCTGAGGCACCTAGGAACATGCGCAGCTTGGTACAAGCCATGGCCCAGCTGAGTTCGGGCGCTGGCTCTGCGCTTGGGATGGCATTCTCACCATTGTCAAAGGATCCTCAGATTCTCTATCTCTATACGGGTTTGTCTATAACAATGATTACCACGGCGCCTACCTTCTGGCTCCTGTTTCGTGCGTATGATGATATAGTATTTGAAGAGGCACACTCGAGCGATGATGGAAGCAACCAGGCGGCAGAGCCAGTGGTTTCTGGACCGTCCGATGCGGCCGAAACAGGAGAAAAGGCCGATAATGCCAAAACATCTCCCTAAAATGCTCAACTAGTATAGTTCATTCTAGGCATTGCGCAGAAGCCGAGCAATTACTTCAACCTGCATTTAAGGCTAGCCATCATGTGCAATCTGATCACTTTCGTGTTAGAAACACATGTTGTTGGCTGGGAAATAAAGTATGACAAATGGCACTGTTGCATAATTTCTTACGTTGTATGACTGTACCATTAAGCGCTGTTGCACACCGACAATTCAAGAAAAGGCCACTTGCAGTGAGGCCATAAGTGTCTCGGGTAGATTAGTCATTCCGTAAGCATATAATCTCATCTTCCCCGTTATGCTTCGCTTTCAACTCTCACAAAAACATGTCACCCTAAACACAGTAACCAATCCGCTCTCTGCACAGACACCATGACGTATGACCGCCCTGCACCAACCACCGATGGATCGGCTTTGTTATCCACGTTTGATGCCTTGACCAAATCCGGGCTTGTTCTCTACGATGAAAGCCAGAAGGTTGTTGAACATACAGACGGGGATCTGAAGGTTCGCTCCGTGTGCCAAAGCTAAAACCGACCATAGAAGCCGCTAACATCTACACAACTGGCATCTAGTTCCACTTTGTTCTTACCAAAGCTCTTATCAAGAAGCCGACCTTATCTACACCAGACCAGTCATCAGCATCCGGAAACGGCTTGTCGAAACAACTCACCCCCGGTAGCGATATCGACACAAATGGGTTCGAGATGGGCCACAGTGAGAGCAGCACTCACTTTCTTATCGCCAACAAATTTTGCTTCTCACGACCTCACCTCATGATGCTCACTCGCAACGGGTATTGTAGGCAATATGAGCCTCTGAACAAGACCGACTTTGAAGCTGCGTGGGGCACCCTAGCTTCCTTGAACGACGCAACAAAAGACTATGTTGTATTCTTCAACTGCGGCAAAGATGGCGGCTGTAGCAGACTGCACAAGCATGTACAGCTGATGCCTCTTCCCGTCGGTGGATTTGCGGTCGACTATCTGAACTCAGACAGTACCAAGGAACCAAAGGTACCTTTCGAGTGGTTCTACCAACGATTTCAAGACAGTGCTGTCTCAGCTTCGAAAGTGGCCGGGACTTATCTAAACCTTCTCCAGCAGGCGACGGAAGCTTGGAAAGCTAGCACTGGAAAGGATGTGCCAGATGGACAGGCGTGCCCGCACAATGTAGCTTTCACGTCTCGCTGGATAGTTGTTATCCCTCGTCGTAAAGCGGCTGTCAACAAAGAGGCCGGCGTGAATTCTTTGGGTATGTTGGGGATAATCGCCGTGGCTACCGAGAAGGAGATTGAGAACTGGGTGAAGCTTGGTCTGACAAATTCGCTCAGTGAGCTTGGAGTTTCGAGAGGTGTCGGTGTAATTTAAGGAAAGTAATCACTGGTTTCTATCTAGATGTGCAACGCTGGATATAATGATATATAACTGCGCGGGATTTTGAAGTTATATTTCCGCGAAAAAGAGTTCCAAGTCCAGGCCCAAATTTATTCCGGGCCTGTAAGACATCAGAGTAATCTCCAATTGGATAATCGGACTCGTCGCACTCACGAAATCGGTGACGTAGGGTTGCTATTCGGAACTCTCGGGTGTTCATCAAGGTGTCAGGTTACACATACCAGTAGGCTTTCAAGCGCCTATAAAATGGCGCTTACCTTACGTCAAACTACCAGGGAAGCAGATACCATAATCACAATGACTTTCAAATTAATACTTCTTCGACATGGCCAAAGTACCTGGAATGAAAAGAACCTGTTCACTGGATGGGAAGACGTGGGTGTCACTGAGAATGGTCGCGCTGAAGCAACTCAGGCTGGAGCGCTCTTGAAGAGACACAATCACCTGCCAGACTTAAGCCATACCTCGCTCCTGCGGCGTGCAATCACAACAAACAATATTGCACTCGATGCGGCCGACCGCCACTGGATTCCCGTGACGAAAAGCTGGAGACTCAATGAGCGCCACTATGGTGCATTACAAGGTCTCAATAAGAAGACGACGGCGGAGGAATACGGTGATGAGCAGGTCAAGATCTGGCGTCGATCGTACGATGTTCAGCCACCAACCATGTCTGACGACGCCTATCAGAAGCAG